ATAAACTTCTATAACACATTAAGCTGACTCTCAACATTTGCCATTGGTACAGCTCCACAGTTATTTAGCTAAAAACATTGGTGAAGGGCAGGAATACTTTCCTTCTGAATAACACACAGAATAAGTAAATAAATCTTGATAGAAAACATCTTCAGAATTTGGACATTTTAGAAAGGAAAAGGAGAGCATGTATCATATAATATATTCATATATATGTGAATATATATATATTCATCACATATGGTAAAACTAAGATGATGAGACACGTTTTTACACACATTCACTTCCACTTATGATGCCAGTTTAATTGTAGGAAGTCTTCAACAAGAACCCTCAGGTTCCTAGAGCTTCAGGGAGGGGATGCTGGAGCTCTCTTATAAGCCTCGTGGCAGTCACAGTTCTGAAGATTATTATTATTTTATTATTTACCATCCAAATTGGAAGCTCATTGAAAACTCCATGCAAACCTCAATGGAAAAAGTCTTGGTAGCATGAAACATTTACTTCATTGATAGACAAAATCATAGCAGACTTCAAGGGATTTTGCATGGCTTTTGGTACACTTAATACTGAGCACTAGGACTTTTTTAATTAATTAATTTTTCATTAATTACACTTTATTCACTTTGTATCTCAGCTATAGCCCCCTCCCTAATCCCCTCCTAATCCCATGCTCTTTTTCTCATATCTTCCCATTCCCTTCCCCAAGTCTACTGGTTGGGGAGGTTCTTCTCCTCTTCCCTCTGACTTTAGTCTATCAGTTTCATCAGGACTGGCTGCATTCTCTTCCTCTATGGCCTGGTAAGGCTGCTCCCCCACCTCAGGAGGAGGTGATCAAAGAACCAGCCACTGAGTCCATGTTCACATTACTAGGGAATTCCACTTGAAGACTGAGCTGCCATGGGCTAAATCTGTGCAGGGGTTCTAGGTTATCTCCATGCATGGTCCTTGGTTGGACTATCAGTCTCAGAAAAGACCCCTCTGCCCGAATCTCTTGGTTCTGTTGCTCTCCTTGTATAGCTCCTGTCCCCTCCAGGTCTTTCTACCAACCCTTTTTTTCATAAGTTTCCTTGCACTCTGCCCAAAGTTGGGCTATGAGTCTCTGCTTTGATACCTCGCTGGGTAGAGTCTTCCAGAGGCCCTTTGTGGTAGGTTCCTGTCCTATTGCCAAGCAAAGACACTATAGTCAGAACAAAACAACAGCCTACAGGCTGGAAAAGGACCTTCACTAACCCTGTATCTGACAGAGGGCTAATATCCAGTATATATAAAGATCTCAAGAAGTTAAAAAGCAACAAATCAAGTAAACCAATTAAAAATAGGGTATAGAGCTAAACAGAATTCTCAATAGAGGAATATAGAATGGCAGAGAAACACATAAAGAAATGTTCAACGTCTTTAGTCATCAGGGAAATGCAAATCAAAACTACCCTGAGATTTCACCTCCACCCATCAGAATGGCTAAGATAAAAAAAAACTCAAGTGACAATACATGCTGGTGAGGATGTAGAGAAAGAGGAAGCCTCCTCCATTGCTGGTGGGAATGTAAACTTGTACAACCACTTTAGAAATCATTCTGGTGCTTTCTCAGACAATTAGGAATAGAACTTCCTCAAGATCCAGCTATACTACTCCTAGGTATATATCTAAAATATGCTCAAGTATACAACAAGGACATTTGCTCAACCATGTTCATTGCAGCTTTATTCATAATAGCCAGAATCTGGAAACAACCCGGATGCCCCTCAGTTGAGGAATGGATACAGAAATTGTGGTATTTTTACACAATTGAATAATACTCAGCAATTAAAAACAAGGAAATCATGAAGATTGCAGGCAAATGGTGGGAACTAGAAACAATCATCCTGAGTGAGGCATCCCAGAAGGAGAAAGACATACATGGTATATACTCACTTATAAGTAGATATTAGAAATATAACATAGGATAAACATGCTAAAAACTATACACCTAAAGAAGCTAAGTAAGAAGGAGGACCCTTGGTAAGATGATCAATTCTAACTCAGAAAGGCAAATGGGATGGACATAGGAAGAGGGAGAAAATAGGGAACAGGACAGGAGCACTAGGATTTTGATGTTAGAGAAGAATCAGTCCTAACCAAATTTGTTATTTTGGAAATTTTGCACACAGCTTTAGGCCCATAGCCCAGGTTAGGGGGCCTCTTACTCATGGTCCTAATGGGAACATGGCTGTGCAAGAGAACCATTGTGTTTGGTCTAATGACTGACACATACTACGTACTCAATAAAAAGATCATCACTGTACTCAGTGTTTTTATGATTGTTATTGACCTAAATAAATTACGGAACTATTTACTGAATGCCTCCTTGGAAGGGAATAGACCTAGATTACAGGGCTCTTCCAGACAGAATTATCTGTCCTTCACACTATAAGCAATTCAAGGAATTCCCTTCTATCCCGGTTGTGAGTATACAGCACAGTTATCTAGGCATAAGACAAACCCAATATACTCTGACTGGAATTAAATGAAGAATTCTCACACCACTAATAGTAAAGAGTGTGAGAGATATCCTATGAGATTTTCAAAGTGTTATGAGGTGATAAATGATAGCTAATAGATGGTAGATAGATAGGTAATAGCTAGATAGATGATATATTGATAACCAAAAGTGATTGATTGATTTATAGATAATAGATGAATATATAGATGATAGATTGCTTGGAAGATGATAGATAGATGATAGACAAATAGATAATAAATGATTGATGGATAATGGATAGATAATAGATAGACAGAGAGAGTTAGATATCTTCTGTCTCAGAACAGATGAAGATTTAGAGCAAAGGAAGCATTTGTGCTCAGCCTTGAAAAGGTGTAACTAAGGATTAAGGCAAGGCCATTCTAAGAATGAAGGAAATTCCTTAAACTGTGAAAGGTAATAGTGTTTTTCATAAGTGGTGACTTGTGTGTTTGGGAAATTGCATACTCATACACAAAGGCAATAGTGGCTTAGAAGTTATTAAAACTAAGTCAAATAGAACCTATAACAACACAAAAAGAGGAAAGCTACTTATTAAGACTTGACAGACTGGAATGTGTTTTTTCAGTCTTTCTCTGGTTTTGCAGGAGATGACCCAGCCTACTGTAAGTTAGACCAAGTTTTAGGAAAGTTGATATGGTAGTATTACTAGGAAAGACAAGAGGACAAAAGGGGGAGAAAGCAGGCAGATTTGTCCTTGAGTCAAAAAGTCTTGTTGAGAATAATAAACAGTTGAGGGCTGGGAGGATGTTGATCAAGGGAGAAGGCTAGTAGCTGCAAAGGCACAAAGAGAGTCTACTGCAAGTGGCAACCAGTGAGAGGAAAGAAGCAAGACACTGAGCTTATTTGGAGTCAATTGTCAGGTATCACAGCACAAAAAAAAAAAAAAAAAAAAGAAGATAGAGGGGTTGGGTCAGCAAGATAGAAAATTATAGATTCACCTTTGAACCAAACAATATATCACTTCTTGTTCAAAGCCAAAAAAATAATCAATCATGTGCAACAGCCTCTGTTTTGGTTAGTATCTCCTGAGTTCAGCAATGGGCCTACTTATCTTGGGTTGCCCCTATTCATGTGGGAGGGAAGTGCTACCCTAAAGTCTAGAGCTTCTTGTTAGCCTCTGTGTTGTGCATACATTTCATGAAAAAGAGACCACCCAGCCTTGTTTGAGACAACCACTGCAAGGCAGGCACTAGCAGCATGGGATTTTCCTGTAAGGGTTTATGTAGCTTGTTCATGTGAATCCTGTAGCATCATAAGGCTGTGGGAGCGTGGAAAGTTTGGGCATGTAGGAAGAGGAGCCACTCTTAGGTCATATGATTGTCCATCCTGTGTTTAGAAGATGCTCCCTAAATTTTACACTCATTTCATTTCACTTCATTTGCTTTATCTAGTACTCTTTTCCAGGACTAAGTAATAATAAAGAGTGTGAATTTAGGAGCCATATGTTGTAGAATATGGGGTTGGCAAACTTTTCCTGCAAAGAACCAAATCATTAATATTTTGGGCTTTGAAGGCCATATGGTCTCCACCCAAATACTCACTTTTGCCATTGCGGTAGGGTAGCAATCATAGATGGTGTGTAATGAATGGTCATGGCTGTGTTCCAGTAAAACTTTATTTACAAAAACAGGTGGTGGGCCAGATTTGGTCCCTAGGCCAGGTTTCCAAGCTTATTTGTATATAAAGTGTAACTATATCTTAAGTTTAGATTTCAGATCTATTTACCAAATGTGTGGCGTTGGACATGCCCAGCTATAAAATATGATTGTGGTGTCTTCTTTATTAGTGTGTTAAAAGTGTGTTAAAATGTCTAAGTAAAGCGCTCAGTAGAGAAATGAATGTTTCTTTTATTTATGTATTATAAGAATAGTTAGAAGGACAAAATTATTCCATGTAATTTTTAGTAATTATCTGGAGTGTAAACTTTTATAGTATTCCTTTCTATTCGTGGAGAAACTGAGTCACTGATGCCAAGAAAAACTGCTACATACAGTATACCATGTAGCCGATGCTACCTAGTTCATCTCAACTAAGTGAGCTCTAGAGACATGAAACTAACCTCTATATTGACACTGGGAGATCAGTGCAGCTGAAATCCCTTAACCTTTCAGGTTCTTCGGGGCTTTCATGATTCCTCATGGATGACACAACTTTAAAAAAAAATAGTTTAATACAGCAGATTTTGGAAACTGACCTTCACTGAGAAAATATCTTACATAAATAAAACCCTTATTCCAGCCTTCTTCATACCCACATATCCCTCATTCGTCCAAAGAGGAGCTCAGCTGCCCAGGAAAACCAAAATATTACTGAGAAAGCTGTTGCAAACCCATTTCAAAAATTTTATCCTATAATCACTCTGAAAACTTGCAATTTCAAAGCTACCCTGTGGAACAGCATGCTGGATTAATTATGCCAGACTGCAGCAATAACCTTGAATTAAAGCCGCAACCTTCTATTTTTAAGAAACACTTGCCTTTCTGGTTGACGAAACCTGTCGTCCCATCAGGTAACAGACGTGACCAGGAAAGAGAGAAGCGGTAATGAGTCAATCCAAGCTGTTTGATACATTTCAAATCTTCTTCCCACAGAGTGTAGCTGCCACAAGCTACATCGCCGGTCTGGTTCTCAAACACTCGCTCGCCTCCCTGATGGGTGAATGTGTCCCAGACACAAGGGCCTCTTCCATCTGCATCCCAGCCTCCTGAGAAGAGGAAGGAAATGAAACGGGTACAGGCTTGACATTAAGAGGCATACGTGGAATGTAAATATTTGTCACCAAAAGAACGTACCTCATTAACTCAATGTACCATATTTATAACTTCAAAATGTGTCTTTAAAATAACATGCATGAATGCGTTGTGTGTTTAACTGTCCTTGATCCCTGAAGCTGACTAGTAGCAAATGAAAACGTATTGCATAGTGCTGTGGCATAGCAAGCTTTCATGGTTCATTATCCAAAGGGCTCTCGGGAGGTAAACAGAGGCAGTCCTCAGCTTATGAATGTTGGAGTGGCAAGCACTGCTGCCTTGAAAACATTACTCCTGGTGGCGACAGACGATCTTGTCCTATCCTATCAGTCTGAAGACCATACCTCTGCTGGCTACATTTGAATCCCTGCTCTGTTTCTCTAAGAGGGAGTTCTTTAATGGTCCAGCCTGTTCTTTGTGGGAAGACAAAAAGAGTTTTCACTGTTGATACTGTATTTGAAATGCCTTTGTTTGTACTTGTATAAATTCAACAGATGTTTTGCATCAAGTACCATGCCTAGTGAAAGAGATACTTGGGAAGACTACACCCCTCTCCACACTGCTGAGGAACTTACCAATTTCAATTACCAGTTGTAAAACTGCCGATTTATGTGCAGATGGCAGAGGAGGAGAACTCCCCCTTTCAGTGGACTAGAGAAAGGGATAGAGGGGAAAAAGGAGAGCGGGTAGGACTGGGAGGAATTGAGGGAAGGGACTTCAATAGGGATATATAATGAATAAACTGAAAAAAATTAAAATTTTAAAATGTTATTTTTAACAATTTGTTATAGCACAAATAGTTGGTTTTATTTAAGGAGTAACTGTATGTATTCATATGTAGTATAATCGTTAATGGAAAATATTTGGGTGATACTTTTTTCCCTTCTGTGATGACTTTCTCTTTCTTATTATGACTGTACGGAATTTTGTCCACCACAAAAATTCTACACAGCTGTTTTTTGTTGTTCTATGATAGTAAATACTATATATCTATTTTCTAAAATGAATGTTTTTCACCATAAAAAAAAAAAACACCAGTGTAAAGGACATGGCCTTCACAGAAATGCAGGAAAGACAAATGAAAAATTATTATCCAGTTGTGAGCTAAAGTCAGAGGAGTTTTCTTTCTGCTTGGTAATTTTATAAACCTAAAACTGATATAAACTAGGAACTTTATGGATTTAAGAACATACATAGCAGGACTGTTAAGTTTTGTATATTTAAAGGTATGTAAAACAAGCTATAAAGCCTGGATCTAGCAGTATTATCTAGGAATGGTAGATTTAGGCTTGTGCTTACATTTGAAGGAAAAAGTGCAGTGGAATTACAGTGAAATGCAAGGGTCTTCAAGGTTATTTCCTAGGTGCTTCTCCCTAATTAAGATAACAATCAATAAATGGGACCTCATGAAACTGAAAAGCTTCTCTAAAGCAAAAGACACTGTTGTCAGAACAAAACGACAGCCTACAGACTGGAAAAGCATCTTCACCAACCCTATATCTGACAGATGGCTGATATCCAGAATATATAAAGAACTAAAGAAGTTAAAAAGCAATAAATCAAGCAATCCAATTAAAAATGGGGTACGGAGCTAAACCGAGAATTCTCTGTAGAGGAATATCGAATGGCAGAGAAACACTTAAAGAACTGCTTGACATCCTTAGCCATCAAAGAGATGCAAAGCAAGATGACCCTGAGATTTCACCTTCCACCCATCAGAATGGCTAAGCTAAAAACCTCAAGTGACAATACATGCTGGAGAGGTTGTAGAGACAGGGGAAATCTCCTCCATTGCTGGAGGGAATGTAAACTTGTGCAACCACTTTGGAAATCAACCTGGCACTTTCTCAGACATTTAGGAATAGTGCTTCCTCAAGACCCAGCTATACCACTCCTAGGCTTATATACAAAATATGCTCAAGTAAACAACGAGGACGTATGTTCAACCATGTTTGTATCAGTTTTATTTGTAATAGGCAGAACCTGGAAAGAACCCAGATGTCAGTCAACAGAGGAATGGATACAGAAATTGTGCTACTTTTACACAACGGAATACTACTCAGCAGTTAAAAACAAGGAAATCATGACATTTGCAGGCAAATGGTGGGATCTAGAAAAGATCATCCTGAGTGAGGTATCTCAGGGGCCGAAAAAACACACACGGTATATACTCCCTTATAAGTTAGTACTAGACCTATAAGATAGGATAAACATACTAAAATCTGTACACCTAAAGAAGATAACAAGAAAGAGGACCTGGGGTAAGATGATCAATTCTCCACCGTGCCCCTTTCCAAGTCCACTGATAGGGGGGACCTCCTCCCCATTCATCTGATCCTGTTTTATCAGGTATCTTCAGGACTGGCTGCAAAGCTCTCCTCTGTGGCCTAACAGGACTGCTCCTTCCTTGGGGGGTGGGGAGGCCAAAGAGCCAGTCATTGAGTTCCTGTTAGAAATAGTCCCTGTTCCCCTCACTATGGGAAACCAATTGGTTACTGAGCTACCACAGGCTACATCTGAGCAGAGGTTCTAGGTTATATCCATACATGGTCCTTGGTTGAATGTCAGTCTCTGAAAAGACCCTGTGCCCAGATATATTTGGTCCTTGTGGAGCTCCTATCCTTTCCCCATCAGACTAGGGAGGGAGGGAGGGACTGGGAGGGAATGAGGGATCTGGACACGGCTGGGATACAGAATTAATAAAATGTAACTGATTAGAAAAAAATAAAATTCAAAAAAAATAAAATAAAAATAAAAATAAATAAATAAAAATAAAAACAAGGAATCGGGAGAAATAGGAGGGGCAAAGAATAGAGATGATGCAACTACAGTACTCCCCTGTAAACTTCTCAAAAATGTTTAAAAAATGATTAAAGTATAAAAAAAAAAGATGATCAATTCTCACTTAGAAAGTCAAATGGGATGGACACTGAAAGTAGGAGAAAACAAATAACAGGACAGGAGCCTACCACAGAGGGCCTCTGAAAGACTCTACCTAGCAGTGTATCAAAGCAGATGCTGAGACCCATAACCAAACTTTGCACAGAGTGCATGGAATTATATAAAAGAAGGGGGAGTTAGTATGAACTGGAGAGGACAGGAGCGCCACATGGACCAAATATATCTGGGCACAGAGGTCTTTTATGAGACTGTTTCTCCAACCAAGGACCATGTATGGATATAACATAGAACCCCTGCTCAGATGTAGCCCATGGTAGCTCAGTATCCAAGTGGGCTTCCCTAGTAAGGGGAACAAGGACTATTTCTGACATGAACTCAGTGGGTGGCTCTTTGACCACACCCACTGAGGGAGAAGCAGTCTTGCCAGGCCACAGAAGAGGACACTGCAGCCAGTCCTGAAGATACCTGATAAGCTAGGGTCAGATGGAAGGGGAGGAGGTCCTCCCCTATCAGTGGACTTAGAAAGGGGCAGGGAGGAGATGAGGATGGGAGGATTGGATTGGGAAGGAATGAGGAAGGGGGCTACAGCAGGGTTACAAAGTGAATAAACTGTAATTAATATAAAAAATAAAAATTATTTAAAAATATAGAAGTCATACAGGATGAATATTATATAATCTATGATCTCTCTTAAAATCCTGAAATGATTTATCGTAACCTCTTCGTAAGAAAATGTTCACGGCTGGAGTATTGTCAGAAACAGCAGTGATAAGAACCCTCTGGTCTTCACTGAGCATCTATGGACTCATATTTTGTGAATAACTCTAAAAGGATCAATTATGGTTTCCAGCCTGGGAAAAGGAGGATATGGGTTATATATATTTAAAAAATGATGGGAGGTGATTAGAAAGAGATAAAAGAAGCACTGAAAAGTGAGTCTGACGAAAGCCAAAGTGACTGTACCTACAAAGGCAAGATACCAATAACTATACAGAGACATAGTACCATCCCCGTCATGTCCATCTGTGGACTTAGAGAAAACTGAGCAAAGACTTCTGGTGTTTTACTCTATTGTAGAACAGGCACAAACATGAAAATGTAATTTTGTAGTTATTGTTCTTATGGATTGGATGATTGGTTTAATAAACAAACACTCTTAATCTGAAAAAATTTAACCAGTGTATTTCTAACTAATATTTTTTTTTTTGCTGACTGTGTTTTAAAACACATGGAAACATATAATGAATAGATTTATGAATACACTTCACAAATAATAATCCACAATGGCCCTTACAGTAAGTTCCTTGTCACCAACTCATATTGATAGAATGTTTTCATTTTGTCAAATTCTTATATCTATTACCATCCAAGGATTATAACCTGACAAAATTGTGAGTTCTCTCATGACTATTGATTGATACTTTTAGTTGAAGAAACAGAGAAAATCAAAGGAAAACAGAAAGAGGTTTCAGAACTCGACTTATTTGCCCACGACACCAGCACTCCTGAGTTAAATAAACATTTTTTTTCACAGCAGACTATTACTTCCTCAGTGTTATTGTGCTACTCACAATGTACCAGCCACATATATGAAAGACTTTCCTTCCAGCTGTATTGTTAATGTTTGCTCTACCACTTACTTAGGTCTGGGGCTCAAGCAACCTATGTGGTGGCATGTAAAAGGACTGGGGAGATGCACAATAGCACACACCTTAAATTTCTCCATGTATAAGAAGCCACATAATCTCCATATAATAGGTAACAGTAACAGACAAATTATGACTTTGTATGTTTATTAGCTTAACTTTACTATAAGTTATGATTATAAGTTTGGGTAACTTTATTTTTAATAATAGCTCATGAGTTATAACAGTACAATTTTATGGATCAACAAGGGTTGGACTGCTTTCGCTGACACTTTTTTGATATCACAGTCATTAGTAGTAAGAGTGCAACTTATATCTAGATCTTTGAAGTCCAAGTCCTTCCACTAGACCATACCGATCTTAGTCGCAATGTTTCAGAACAATAAACAAAGAGTGCACCATGCCAC